ACGCCCAAGATCCTTCCGATGACTGGATTGCCGTTGACACTACTCTCAGGCCCCGCCTCTCACTGAACCACGCGCCAACCTTCTCATTCAGCCTCCAGTCTTGCTCTGTGTCGTGTCTTCTCCAGTCTGCAGTTGGAGGGTTTCGTTTTCTTTCTAGAGCAGAAATTCGCTTGTGTCCTTCCCTGTCCAACATCCTGAGGAAGTCCACGCTGCTTTCCGGATGAGGTCCAAACTCCTTGCCCTGGCTCGCGAGAGCCCGCTCACCTCTCCGTTGCGGGTCTCCACCTGGAGCATCCTTTTTCTTTCCTCCCTTCCCTCGGGGAACTTGCCTCACGTGCCTTGGACTCAGTCATGGTGCCCTCGTCACGCTTCCCTAGCCCGGTACTTCCTCCACCCTGGCATCTGACATATTGGGCTGTATTTGCCAAATTGTCGCTTATCTCCGGCACACAGCAGGCATCCAGTGAGTGTGTTGAGTGAATTGGCTTACAAAACAAACATCTTGAATGAATTTGTTTAAAAGATACTGTCTTGTGTGTATGAATAGAAGTTGACACTGACAGATACACAAGGAAATAATACATTGATGTTTATATCCCTGGGAAACTCTGTACATCCTATGAACAGAACTTTTAGTACATGTAAGCAAGTAAGAGACCAATCTTACAGATAATTCAACTAGTTGGTTAAATAAATAAACTAGCAAACTAAGACAAGAGGTGATTTATGCATGTATGGTCTTGTCTCCTAAGTCATCAATGTAAAAACAAAAGTCACAGCAAATGTATTGCTTCAAAAGGACCCCAATGGCTTAAAACAAATCCTTGTTTTCTTGTGACTCTATCATTAAATATTTAATATGATTAATCAGCCACGTGTCCTTTTTATCACTGAAATTTTACACACACATATACAAATATATGTAAGGATCTATATGTAGAATAATGGTACACCCGAGGTATATTCTGCATTTTCCCATGATCATGTAATCGTAAATACATACGCACACACATTTGGGTGCCTGTGTTTCTTCAGGATTGATTTCTAGGTGTGGATTCCGAGTGGGATATGTCAGGGTACCCTTCCCCCAAATTACTGACGAGAACAAATGTTGCCACTCATAAATTTTTTCCAGTCTCTCCGAGCACAAAAGAAACCTGTTTATTGCTTTGCTCTGAGCCTCACTTGACTACGTAAAGCATCTCTTTACGTCTCAGCCACAGAGGCTTGCTTTTCTTCGGCATGCCTCGTCTCATACTTTGCCCACATTTGACTGGGTTATTGACCTTTTCTTTTGAATTTCTGATATATTTCCACAGAGTCCAGTTATTAACCTATTTCTCATTTGCACAACAAATATTCCAAATTTTGCTGGTTTCCATTAACTTGTAGTATTTGTTGCTATATATTTCTTTAAATTTTTATAATTCCATAGTTCTGTGTTATCTTTTATTGCTACAGCATAGCTAGCTTGTGTATTCAATTCCGGTGGCCACTGTAACAAGTCCATACAGACTGTGGCTTACAACACAGAAGTTTATTCTTTCGCAGTCCTAGGGGGCAGGAGTCTGAGGTCCGGTTCACTGACCGAGACGAAGTGGTCAGCCAGGCCGCTGACCTGGAGGCTGACCTGTTCCCTCCGGAGGCTCCAGGGGAGGGTGCAAGTCTTGCTCCTTCCCGCCTCTGGGGGCGGCCGGCACCCCCTGGCTTGCGGCTGTGTCACTCCAGTCTTCAAGGCCAGCACCTTCACTGCTCTGCTCTCTGTCACATTGCCTCTGCCTCTCGTTCAAGTTCACAGTGACTGCGTTCAGGGTCCACCCGGACAGGTGATCCAGGATAATCTCCTCATCTCAAACTCTTTAACCACATCTGCAAAGATCCTGTTCCCATAAGGTATCTTTTACCTGCTTCAGGTTAGGTCCTGCATCTTTGGAGGTCGTCATTTAACCTTCTACAGCTGATAAGGTTTTCCCTACCCTAGGACTGTACACGGATTTGCCTAGATTTTCTCTAAGGTATTGGTATAGCTTTACTCTGCTGAGAACATATATTTTTTATGTGGTATGATAGAGGGGTCCTTCCACTTGGGCCCGATTCAACCACTTTATATTTTCCCAGACTAAATTAAAATAGCATTTTTGTTGTTGATAAACGTCACATTTACACCATTTCTGGATTCTCTATTAAGTCTTACTTTTATTTCTCCATTCCTATGCCTCTGCCAGATTAATGTGGTGATGGTGACTTTATGGCACTTTTTTTATACTGCTGAAATCATTTACAGCTGCAAGCTCCTCTCTGACACAAGATATTGCTTCATTTCATGGCTTTGCAATGAAGTGTTCGCTTATTCATAGGTTTCTAGAGAATACAAAAATTCACCTTTTTCCCATTGATTTTAGGACAATACAAGAGTGAGTTTTTCATTCCTCAAGTAGCTAAGATTTGTTTTGTGAGCTACATATTAATGGTCTGCTTCTCATTTTGTTAGCTTATGGGCAGAGAACAGCGCTGTGGAATACCTCATTTTAACTTCTGTTCAGGTTTTCCGATGGCATTGAAGAATTTTTGTACATGTTCCACAGACAGCCAAAGATTGTTTTGAGGGGTTTGAGCTATAGAATCTATAGAAATATATACATTAAAATCAAGTTTATTGAGAGTATGATTTAATTGTCATATATCCTCATTTATTTTCCATTAAATTGGCCCAAGTTTGAGAGATATTTAAAATGACTATATCGTGCTAGTGTTTGGATTATGTTTCTGCTAACTTTTGCTTTATGTGTTTAGCTGGTGTGCTGTCTGGGGCGCGCTACTTTATAACTGTCGTAGCTCCGTAAATTGTGCCATTACGTAATGATGGCCTGCCTTTCCCCATGAAGTATATTCAAGTCCTCCCACCTCTTATCCTAATGTTTACTGAGATTCTTCATCCCGTTGGTTATAGATGAATGCTTCTCAACTTTCTTTTCATTATCACCTTACAAAGGAGTTTTATTACAATTTTTCCCCTAAACTTGCCCCCTATGAAATTTTAATACTACAGATATATTGCACATTCACTGGATGTATATGGGTGTTTTAGTCATAAAAGTAGTGATTCACACACACATGCAAACACACAACACACACACACACACACAAAAGAACCAATTCTCAGCTTCTTCTGGGTGAGAACACCCCCACTAGAATGCACGTAATGGATTCTCAGCAGACTCCCCCGTGATGTGTCTCTTCTGTTTCCAGAATCTTTCCTTAGCAGGTGCGCCAATCACATCTCCATACCGTATTGCTCATCGCTTGTGTCTTCTCCCCTTCATCCCCCTTGATGGTGCTTGGTGTTGTTTACTGTTTGGTCACAGTCCATCCTTGAAAAGATTCCTCATACAGGTAATGTAGGTAATCTAGTCTCTAAATCTGTATATATTTGCAAATATTTCTTTCAAGCTAGCAAGTAAAATCCTTGACTGAGCGTCAGTCTTTTTCTTCCATAGCCTGAATTGACTTCGTGTTACAGATGGTAGGCTCCGTGCCAGTTGGCTCCACTTGCCTTGATAGGTAATTGTTTTGTTTCGTTTTGTATTTGGCCAGACGTTTGTAAGAATTTCTTTGTCTCCCTGTTGTTGAGTCCTTTTACAGAATGTGCCTAAATGTGTCATTCTGCATTCCATTTGCCTCTCTCTTCAATTATCTTTACAACAGGTAGATGCAGGGCTTTCCTCAGTGAAACAATTACTCTTCTGTTATTTGCATCCTTATTCCTTTCGCCTCTTTTTCTCTTCCAATGCATCTGTTAGTCTTGTGTTCTCACTCTTCAGTTTACCCGTCATCCTGAAGTTTTATCACCCTTACGTTTTCCTGCACGCTCCAGAGCTTTAGGGTTTTCGTCTTGGGCTTCTCTCTCTGCTGAGACTGAATTGCAGGAATCACTACCCTTCCTCCTCATTCCTCCATTCCTTCTTCTCAGTCTTCAGATCCTTTTGTGTATAATCCCTATCAACAGTCCCTTCTTATCAAAGTAAGATAACACTTTGCCACTTAGGGAGCATTAAGACCAAAGCCTTCTTTGCCTGCCTGGCCCCTGAAGGCTTTTGAGTTTATGGCCAAAAAACAAAAATACTGAGAAATCAATAAAAGAAAACCAGTTCCCTTTTGTGATCCAGAGAGGGAGTCCATATAAACACACAAGGGAAAATGAACGGGATAATGTCGCAGTCCACCCACCTGAGGTCAGGTAATGACTGAGCACTATCACTACCCAGGTTCCCCGAGACTAAAACGTACCATGATATTTATATGCTGGTTAAAATGCTCTTTCAACGATCGTTTTTACTTTGTTTTATTTCAGTTATTTTTAGGCTGTGCTAATGATAGATTTCTAGGCAGAACGTTAATTGAATTCAATGAAACAAGTTTTAAACAACACGGTAAATTCAGGCAAATCACTAATAAGTAGCGGTGGTTCTCCCTTAAGAGCTGGCACTGAAAGGATACTTACCTACTACTGATGTCTTTAATTCTCACAAAAACCTTTTACAGTGGGTACAAATGCCTGCATTTTACTTAGGGGAGAACCTGGAGATTAGTGCGATTAAGAAAACCATTTGTAAACTGGAAAACTCGCTGGAATCCAGTCTCTTGGGGCCCAAACACGACTGTTTAATACTCTCTGCTGTCTTTTTTTGGGTAGAAAACCTCAGAAGTTCTTGAAACAGTAAAACAAAGGGGAATTTGCACTGCAGCATTGAACTTATTATTACAGTAATTACCGAATTGCGCAATGCAGTACTCAAAAAAGATAACAGACTGTAATCTGTGTTCGTGTTACTATTCCATATAAATTCTCTGATAGAATTTTCAAGAATACCAATTGCTGAAGTGCTTTCCTTTTAAAATGTGAATGAATAGTTCAGTTTTCCATACATTTATGTATGCCTGTTTAAAGCGGCATCCATTTTGGTTTTCTGACTTTCTTTGTCTCTGACTATTTTTTCTAGGGTCAACGTCTTTTCGAAAAGTTGCTCCAACTGACATCGCAAAATATTGAAATCAAGCTAGTGAGTGATGTGACCGCTGATTCAAAGGTATTAGAAGCCTTGAAATTAAAGGGTAAGACCAAGGTTGATATGCTACTCTACCACCGGGTATTCCGTTAGGATACCTTTCATTCATTTAATATAGAGTTTCTTGATAATGAATGCATTTCACTTAATATATTCCTTATTTCTCCTTTGAAAAATAGTCTGAGTAAAGCCTGTAGATGAAAGTCTGATCAATCAATGACTCAGTCAATCACTAATCAATCAATACTACTAGGATTTTTAATAGTGTCGCATATGAGTCTATGTAAAATAATCTCCCAGCCGTTAGACAATAAGTAACTAGACAGAAGAATGTTGCCCTTTTTGAGCACCCCAATGATGTGGTTAGAGAAAAGAGACTTTGCTGGTCAGAACAAACGCTGGCATTCTGTTTCTCTCTTGCTCATCAAATGGAAACTGTCCTGCTGCATAGAAATCAAAAAGGTTTGAGTCTGGGAAACTTCCTGATTCACAACTTTTAAGATAATTTCACAGGAGAACACCCTGTATCAGCCACTTTGCAGTACGGCTGTGAAAACGGAGAGTAACGCTAAAATGACTTTCTAGATGTTGCTGTAATCTTCGCTAACAAAAGTCTCATTTCCAAACATTTTTACCGATTTATAATGCAAACAGTAAGCCTCTGAAAGGAATTGGCCTGTGTGAGCCAATGAGAAGTTTTCAAGAGGCGGGGCATCCCCAGGGGAGGACAAGGCATTGGCCTCAGTGGTGACCTCTCATCTGACATCCTTACACTTCATCCCGGTGCACTTTAAACACGCGGAGCATTTTGTGCGTCATTTCCCCTACACATTAATTATATAATGTTAATATTATATTTATATTATTACAGGCACATGTACTTATCACCACACATATTATTTCTCTATGCACAGGACAATAAAGAAAACTTACGAGAAACAGCTAGATCTGAAAAGCTTTACTCCGTGACTGGAGTGCAGCGTGCTATTTTTGAAAAACTAGAAAACACCCCGTTTAGTGCATTAGCAGATACGATTTACCTGGATCAGAAATGTGTTATTACTTTTCCTGTTTAAAAAATATGAAATGGGGTTCCCAACCTCTGGAACTTTGTTATCTGACATGTTTCCGAAAATGGATTCCTTTTGGTTAACTCTGAGTACCGGAATTTGCAGATAAGTGTTCTTGTGGAAACTATTCGTGTGCCCTTTGGGTTTGATTATCAAGGCCCCAGGAGTTCGGAAGGGGGTGGGGGAGCAGAAGAGTTCTATGACTTCCTGACTGTCCACCCGCAAATCTGTTCTGTGCCTCTTTGCCATAACTTATCCTCAAGCTTATTAACTCAATCACAGTTAAAACTAGGGAATGCGAGGGGCCGTAACAGCCTTTCCTAGGTGCTGCGGAAGATTTGGCTGCTGTAGACAGGATGTTGCTGTTAATGAATTTATGGTAAAGGCATGGTTTACATTTCTGCTGTGAACTATGAATTAAAACTCCATTACAGTCATTGCTTCTCACAAAAAGGAAGTGTTTGACTATCACAAGCTTATGTGTATATTACTACAACTTAGGCTCAAGTTCTTATCAAAATAAGACAACAAATGATTTCCTTTAAATTGTGGAGCAATACACAAGGCCCTAATTTCTCACAGCTGTTTCCCAGGTACTGATGGCAGGCCTATCTGGCTTTTATTAATATACATATTTATATATTAATATACATAATGTACATATGTGTATACATATATATACATGGTTGTATTTTTCTACCTCATCCCCTGACAGAGACATTTTAAATAATAACAATGATTTTAGAAATAATTTTTTAAGATTTTTATTTATTTATTTTTAGAGAGGGAAGGGAGGGAGATAGAGAGAGAGAAACATCAATGTGCAGTTGCTGGGGGTCATGGCCTGCAACCCAGGCATGTACCCTGACTGGGAATCGAACCTGAGACACTGTGGTTCACAGCCTGCGCTCAATCCACTGAGCTACACCAGCCAGGGCTAGAAATAATTTTTATGAAATAATTTTAAATCTGTGTTTGAAGACCTTGCTTGGAGGTTATCTTTTAATATTTTTAGACAGAAAGCCTGGTCTTTTGGTGAAGTTCCAGGAAAGGTTGTCCAGAAATAGTCCACAAAGACAGATAAGCACCGGGCAGCCACGAGCAGCTTCCGCTGTGGGCAAGTCACTGCATGTGACGCTAGTCAGACATCCTGGGGCAAAAATAAGAGTGAGGCTTCCCCGGAAATGGCGAAGTTGAGCGCAGGTGTGGGCCCAGTGAGAGCCAGGCAGGCTGGCAAGGTGGGGCATCCCCTCCCCCAAAAGCCACAGCACCCTCCACGGGTGGGGTGAGACCCTGGGCCATTCCTGGTTCCTCCCACTGCCCTTTCCACACCTCTGGGCCAGACTGAGAAGTCAGAAAGATGCCCTCGGGTTTGCTTACCAGGCCACCAGAGCATCAGAGCCACTTCAGTCTGTGGCCGCCTTGTGTCATTAAATTAAAAGAATGCTCCCCCAAATCAGCAAATTTCCCCTGCCCCTTCCTTGACATGAGTGGCTGGCCATGACCTTGAGTAATATGTTCCCACATAGGGCTCTCATCTCACTGATGGCATGTTAGATGATTTCAGGTCTTCCTGGATTTTTAAAATGTATTCTTTTAATATGTGTTTGTTAGGCTAAAGTAACTAGATGTCAGACTCATTATGTTATGAATAGTAATACTTAGGGCAAAGCTAAGTAAAAAAATTGCTCAATTAAAATATGATTTAAATGTAATTTAAGTAAATGTAGTACAGATGAGAGACAGACTTGGGTTTTAAAAATAATAAAAGGCAACTCTGGGACTTAAATGACAGCTTAGAAAAGATAGCCCAGGAGTTTATAAGGCATGACGCAATTTCCATAGAAATATATTAATGATTGCCACATACTCTGGGTTTGGGTGGGTTTTATTGTGGGTTTATTTTGTTGTTGTTTTTTTTCTGAAACCAAGGCAAATTACCCTATCAGTGAACCTGTTTATAGTCACAGCTGGGACTGTTATTGTAGCTTCTTTGGTAAAAATCCACATTTCCTGATTTTTTTTACCTTCTTATTTAAATTTTGGTTATCTGTTCTCTCTATATATTCCCCCCCCCACACTTAGAATGTTCATGTGAGAGTGTGATAACGGAATGTATTTTTTTAGGTTTCCTTACTTTCCAATTTACTTGAAAAAGATAACTTTGAATGTATGCACTTAGAATACATGACCAATAGTTTCTATTTCACAGGTTGTTGAAATCTGGTTGGGGCAGATACTTGAGGCAGTTCAGAGTTCTAGAAAGTGCTGTTGTTACGGATAGGAATGTCAGAGGAGTAACGTATGCCCCCCGGGCACACGATAAATACTATCTGATGAATTCGAAAGAATCAAACAAGAAATGGCTTTGTTTCCCTTTGTTACTTACTCTCTTGGACTAATTTTAAGTCTTGATGGGCAATCACTGAGTAGGTTCATAATGTACATGACAGAAGTAGGCTTTATGTTACCAAAACCAAGACTCAGCCTTTAGCTTTGAAAGTTTTACCTTCTCCTTAGTTCTGGAAGTAAATTCTTGTATTTTAGTTGTCATGTGTAATGAACACATTCAAGATGACATTGACATAATGCCCATGTGACTGTTCTCACTTGTAAGACTTGCCCCTACTTCTCTCTACTGAGAATTGACTCTGGACAGTATAATACTGCAAGGTCAAGCGTTAGCTGGTAAAGTGATGAGACTAATGTATATTGGTAGTTGAATTTAGCAAAGAAATAGAGATAATCGTGATTATACGTAATTTTTACAGGAAGAGATGTAACTAGAGTATGTGTCTACAGGAGTAATAATGGTTTCCAAAGAGTATGTTTTAAAGGAAGAAAATGAGCATGAACCACCTCTTTAGTATAAGCCATGAAGTACTAGCTGGTTGTGAATTACAGTGGTGCCAGCTATAGCGCCTCTATGATCAAGGGTCTTCCAGCGTCTCTAGAGCAAGCCCTTCAAGGGTTTGTAACAGGAGCAAAATCTCCTTTTTGGCCGAAACGGAAATGAAAAACTTCAGCTTGGAAGATAGATTTTTTTTCTAACTATGGAATCTAAATATTTCACCCTGACCAGTGAGGCTCAGTTGGTTGTCCTCAGTTGGCAGGTCCCATCCCCAGTCACGGCGCTTACGAGAAGCAACCAATCGATGTTTCTCTCCCTCTGTTTCTCCCTCCCTTCCCCTCACTCTAAAAATAAATTTTAAAAACCTAACTATTTTGACCCTTCATTTCGGAGGAGTGCAAACAGTTGGAAGGAAGAAGTTTTATATTAAATATCTTCAGTGCTCACAAAACCACAATCACTGTGTTGTATGTAGTGACTCATAGGTAGATCACTCATCATAACTGACACCAAGGCTTTTGTTAAGAAAACAGCAGAAAGATGAAATCTTGAAGTAAGTCTGGGGGGAAATGGCCACTGTGCAGACACATTGATTTTTTTAGAGCAATAATGAAATTAAGAAGGAAATAGAGTGCTGTTGGCAATTTGGGGGGGAAAAAAGATATTCCAAAGCCCTCGTCAGGGTTTCCCAGGAAGCCTCTCTCTCCCACACCCCTCCAAGCTGAGTCTCATCCCCTCCCATCAGCCCCCGGGGCTTCCCTCTTTCACAGCATCCACCCTGAGCGCACAGTTCTACTTCCAGGCTTTAAGCTCAGTGAGGGCAAGGTGGAGACTTGATGGCTGGCTCACGCAGGCAGCAAATTAATGTCTGTTGAATAAACAGCCCGAGCGCTTCGGGTGTGTGAGGAATCTCAGAGAACAGCTCTCAGATTTTTCCCCTCTTAGCTTGAGTCTTCATTTTTTGTAACACTGGGCATTCTGTATTTCTATGGAAGGGACTTAGGCAGGTGGCAAGTTGCCACATTTAGAATCAGAAGATTTAGAAGAGCTAACGAGTTTGGTCCGACATGATTAAGTCCTGGATGGTAACGAGGGGTAACTTTCTCGGTACCAAGAAACTATACC